TATATGTATATGTGTATAATCATATCAACTTGATATACAGATCAAGTTTTCATAAAGGCGAGCACATCTCATCCAATTTCTTGTCCTCCGATCCATCCATCCATCGGGTGGAGTAGAGGCGCGAGAAAGGGACTTTATTATTATTATTATTTTATATATATATATATATATATATATATATTTTTTTTTTTTCGTGCTATTATTATAATCGCTATTATGTATATGAAATTACAGCAATAATCGGTTTTTTTTCTCGTGTTATTTTCTTCTTTTTTTTTTTGGTTTTTCTTCGTTTTCTTATTTCATTTGTGTGTGTGTATATTTTTCTTCTCTCTGTTCTGTATTCTACATTTATAATATATTACTATCGTGTGTTAATTTTTATTAATTAATCTCGTTTAATGATTTAAAGGAGATTTTCATTCATATCTTATTAATTATGTTCACGCGATCCTATTGATAACGATCGACGTTAAAGATAAAATCAATGAACAAGACATTATTTTGTGGGAGGACACACCGGAATGTCCTGATTCGATTTTATTTTGAAGCGATAGAGGACCACCATCATCGCTTTGCATGTTAGACGTGTCCGATGTTTTCGGTATGATAATTTTGTTCTCATCCAAACCAGGGTCTTCCATTTTAGGCTCTCTAGCTTCTTTTTTCTCGTTGTAATTATATTTAATCGTAGTTGTGGTAGGTTCCGTTACGACAGGTGGTGGTGTAGTTGTAGGAACTAGGCTGTTATCTTTGAGGTAATAAATTGGTCCGAATTCTGGTGTAATATCGAACAAGGTCTCTTCCCTACGAATCCCATTGATCATTCTTGATGTTGTCCCCTTGTCCTCGTAATGTGAAACCAATTCTCCGGTATATGGAACTTCCATATCGGTGTAATTAGCTTTTAAAGTAACGTTTACCCCAGTACCTGGTTCCAAATAAATTTCTATCCTGTTTAGTAAAACAATAACAAAAAATATATAATTATCATCGCGTGTACTATTTCTGTTATTAAAATATTCAAGAAAAGAAAAATATAATACATACTTTTGAACTTCAGTACGATTCTCCCTTTCCTCGATACCCCAAATGATAAAAGGTAAATTAACTCCGTTGTACAACTGGATCGAAGTATTCAAACCCTTCAAAATAGCGTGACCCTGACCCCAGTACATCGAGTAGTTGTAGGAGTACGCAACGGCTTCTGCCAGCTTCGACCTTTTGTCGCCATCGTTTTTCAACGTACCTTCCCAGATCAAACGAGGTGTACGTTTGACAATACGTTTTTTAGACCAATTTAATCGAACGCCGCTAAGTTTGTAATAAATCGGTTCGGTCTCTACGAGAACTTCGCACGATTTAGCTGTATTTTCAACACCATTCTGAAAAAAAACCACAAATATTTCATATCATGTTTCTGCAATTGTAAAAATCAGTAATGAGGGATTATAATGAAAAATAATTTACCTCCTTAACGTAGAAAATAGTACCGAAATTGTCATTTGTATCCATAGTTCCAATATAATGGGTATAAGCATAGGGTAATTTTGAGTTAGTTTCACCAATTGGTCTCTCGTACCTTGCCACAAACATTTTGTCTGTAGCTACTGCTCCCACAGGTAAAGTAGTATATATGTTCCAATGTCGCCAACTAATTCGTGCTGCATTGTCCACGTTTTCAAGGAGATCGTATTTCTCGTACGAACGAACGTTACCGTGTATCGAAACCGTGCAACGTTTTTCATCTGCCAATTGAGTTCCGGATACCCACACGCTATTGTGCAATGCTCGGCACACGTGTAACGGCTTTTTGATTTGGTATGGTTTATTCAGAGGCGCATCGTTCGGTGCAATTGGATCCTCTGAAATTCATTGATCAATTTTCATTAATTTATTTATTCTGATGTGTTATTTCAACAGGATTTGTCTGAATTATTAGAATTTTTAATGTACCTTCGGTTTCTTGAAGAATCTGATATCCACCGACGACGATCTGCTGTGAAGAATCATAATGGCTACGTGGGAGCCAGTTGAGAGTACTTGAAGTAACGAGTTGACCGTACTTCGACGATATGTGTACGCTGTTGTCAGCGTTGATCAATAATAGAAGGACACCGATCAGTCCCACAGAAAGATAGTCTTTTTGCCAAGACATCTGTGAGGAAAAATAAAACAATAATCACATATATAATTTTACGACTCTTAATAAGATAAAATATCTATGATTTATTGGGAAAATCAAAATTGGACTGTTATCGATAGAAATTAATCGGTTAGATTTCAAAGAAATTATGAAAGGGGTTTGTTTATTTCGTGTGTAAATATAATCAAGAGTAAGTAAATATTAATCAAATCACTCGTTTATCTCTCTGGCGCTTATTTAGCGATAAAGGGATTGACATTTGATGCAATGTACCGACAAACGATTGAGAGGAGTGATTTTATCATTGAAATAACAGCATCGCAAATGCTCTTGCACGCGCATGTGTGCGCAAGAGTGTTATATGCGGTCTGAGTGCAATGTGTGAGTGAGTGTGTAACGTGTATGTCTGGTGTTTATTCATTGACGTAGTGTCTACGTTCGTAAACACTTCTCAGTAAAGAGGAATAAGACAAAGAGCTGTTTCGAAATATTACAGTACGAAGATTTAATATGTAAGAAGGTAGTGAATGAACCAAAAGAGAACAGCAATCCTTATACGAATGAGTAAGCGAGTAAGCTTGTTGGGTTGGCTTTCTGGCTTGCTTGCCTGCCTGCCTGCTGGATAGCTGGTTGGTTGACTCGACACGCGATTATGAAACACGGTAAGGAAGTTCACGTAAAACGAGTCCGTAATCCGGAACCATTTTACCGCAAGGCACATCTCGTGGCTACATGTTCGTGACGATCAACTCGTTCACAGTGTAGTACCGTACACAACTTCCACTTACCGTAATGATTCCGCGGTGTATTCGTTTATGTAATAATTTATATCATATAAATATACATACATATGTGTATATATATATATATATATGTAAATAATAATTACAAAATAATATTGTCTATGTTCAGTTAAAAGTCACTAGCTCTATCTTTGACACAAAATGACTTATTTAATTTACATTGCCAATTTATTAGCCATTATTTCATAAAAAACATTAATAGTAGTGTATGAAAGTATTAACAAAAAGTATACTTTTTACAAACTAATTAAAAATTCCTTTGACGAACACAATAACTCACATCAGATTAATATAAATGTTAGTTAATGACTTTTTATTGAACATATATATATATATATATATAAGAAAATAATTAAAAAAATATTTGTATAAGAAAATGTTTGAAATCATTCACGAAAAAAAAAACAAGACAAATAAAAATACTTAATTTGAGATAAAAAAAGAAGGAAAGAATTTCATTACCAGCGTTATAAAATATATATTTAATCTGGATAATTGGATATTTTTTTTTGTCTTCTTCATAAACTATTTTAAATATTTAATAATCATCTACCTATCGACAAGCGTATAATTTTCTCGAGATTGATTGGTACACGTTCGAGTATCTTACAAATTTTTTTTTTTATTAGCCTGTTTTCAAACGCCAGTAATTCAACTTGTTTTCTAATTACAAACTAAGTACCCTATAGAGAAAAAGGAGGTATAAACTGCATTCCGAACAATTATGTGTCATTAAACTAATCACTCTTTCAATCATTGTTGTTGTTGTTGTTGTTGTTGTTGTTGTTGTTGTAGTATCTTAATTAAGTCTACCCGTTTAACACGTGCTTACTATACTTCAGTTTTTTTTTTCTTTTTTTTTTCTTCATTACCTTAAGAAGATTCTTAGTTGTAAAAGGAATATCGTAATACTTTACATACATAGCTTGATTTGATTATATTTGCTTGTAAATTAGTTCAAGTATGACAAAGACAACTGAGTATACTTTCTTTCTAGATAAATTACAATTATGATTCACTCTCTGAACAGGAACTGCTGACGCATCGTACAAACTCGATCGACTTGGACAATAAAATTAATAAAATTATTTGATCTTACAATAGTCGTTTTTTTTTTTAACAAAGTTAATCATAATTTTTATAGCCTATAAATCTCTGTATCTTTTTTTTATTTTTTTCAATCTCTTAATGTAGAATAATGAATGGTCTTTGAACAGATTTTTAAGGGAAGGGTTTAAACAGCTTTCAAATGACCTATCCTCTGTAATTTTTGTCGAAGGTGATTATTCAGATTAACTTGAGAGAAAGAGGGAAAGAAGAGAAGAGGAGAGGAGAGAGAAACGTAGAACATTTCCTGTTCGTGGTTCTACGGAAGCCCATCATTGTGTCTGTATCATTGTCCCAGGCCGTATCAAAGCACACGATAAAAGGTTCGCTTTACGGATTGTTTCTATTTGTAAATCTATTCAGAATAACGAAACGAGTATTCTATTCGATCGAATAATTGTGCAAGGACATGCAGTATAATATACAGCATATTTAATATTTAATGTACCATATGTATAGGTGTCTGGAATTAGGGCGTATTTTACATATAATAAAATTTGATAGACAAACGTAAAAATAATTAATTAGCACTTTCTAAAATTTATTTCAAAATTAAAAAAAAAAATATATATATATACAGCGAATACTAAAACGTTCTTTGACAAAATAAAATTGATATCCATTTGAAAGATTAATAAGCTTAAAAGATATTTGCTTTTTTTTTTTTTGAATTTTAAATGAAAGATTTGCATTTCAAACAAATATCAGTGATTTTAAATTGATGAAAAGTGAGAGTTAGTATTTCGAATAATCCTATGACTCATGTCAATGTATATTATAAATATAAAATAAAAAATAATTCGATACGGTTATTAATCATTTAGCTGATATATAATGGACACTCTTATTTCATTTTGAAAAATATTAAATAATCTCATAATAAAAAAAAAGTCATTTGTCACGTAATGTTAAACAGAAAAGATTTGTAAACTCTAGCTAAAATGAAACGTAGTACTTATTCCAGACATTCATTCATGTGTGTATATTTATATGTGAAGAATTCAAACGAGGACGTTTATAAATTCAACAGGATGATAGTGAAATTGACAAGAATATCGACAGACTACGATGATGAACGACGATGTCCGATGGTATAATATTAGAAATTGATAAAACGTTTAAGCATCGATCAACAACATTAGGAACTTTCTAAGGAATTATTTCATCCCTTTTCTAGTGATCGGCAAATTTTGGAATTAATTTTGTTAATAATTTATACTTTTAATTTATTTTTTAAATAAAATTTCAATAATTTTCTTTTCTCATCATATTTAATAACATTATTTTTCGCATAAGTAAATTATCGATCGTCGTTAAAAGGATTAATCTACCTTATTGACTTTCATTGAACGGAATTGATCGAATTAACTGAAGACGTTTCAAGATTGAAGTATTTAACGTGAAAAATTTTCAATAGACTATGAAAATACCGATAGGACAATTTTCCTTCCTTGAACCAACCTTCACCCTCTTCCCCTCTTTTATAAAATTTCAATTTATCCGTTAGACACTTTTCTAGCTGATGACAAAGCCAGAGAGAGAGAGAGAGAGAGAGAGAGAGAGAGAGAGAGAGAGAGAATGAACTTTCAAACAAACTTTCCTTTCAATTCAACTGCATAAAAGGGGAGGGATGTAGAAAAGGAAAAAGTAAAAGTAAGGGAAGAGGAAAAAAATCAAAAGCAACCAGAGAATATAACCACGTGGAATATAACTCGAGAAGTAGCTGCTATTGAAACATGTAAATGAAAAGAGAATGAGGGAGAGAGAGAGAGAAGAGAAGAGAAGAGACTCAAGAGGGGGGGGGAGAGTGCGTTTGAAAGGCACTCACGTAATAACGATTTATTTATCAATTATGCGTAGCTATGATGCAATTTGCTCGATACATTCGACGACTAAATATGACGTTAGTATACGCGATTCGATAAATCGAAAAGAATGCACGTGTATCTGGCACGGATATGCAATTTGCGTTAGCGAATTGGAAACACTTGTTACGAGTTGTGCTTGCACGCGCTTAGATTACAACGTGAAAAATCTTTTAACTCTTTTATTTCTTTTTTTCTTTCTCTTCTTTTTTTTTACAAACAATTCAAGTAAGAGGATAAGGAGGAAAAATAAAAAAATGCCGATATTTATTGGGTCAGTACTGTGTAATTATTTTTGTTAATTAATAGTCAATATTTTAAATAAAATTATTAGTAAATATTCTTTGTCAATATTTAATATTTGATATTTGAAAAAGAATAAAATTACTAATATATATATATATATATTATATAAAAGAAATATTCATCATGCATATCATATATTTAACAAAATACTGATTAAAAAATTAAAAACAAATATAAAATACTGATTAAATAAATAAAAAATTAAAGTCTTGTATTTTTCTTCTCGATCTTTTCTATTTTCGATCTAATACGAAATTTAAAGCAGTTTAAACATTTTTCACCGTGATTGTACAGGGTGTTAACGCCAAATGCAGACACATAGAGGGAAGAGGTGGTATTGATAGATCTCTCCTTTCCTCTTTACCATCTTCTCCTCCTCCTCCTCCTCCTCCCTTTTCGTTCTTTTTTTTTTATTATCAACACCACTAACACTATCCACCCACTAACATTTCGCCCTATTGCCAGTCGTCTCCCCCAGACAGACGTTTAATCAAGGATATTTGTTCCACTTATAATAATATGCATCGCGATACATCTTGAATGCACACCCGTGCATTCTAACGATATGCGTAATGCAACGAGCTACTTATTGTCCTCCGGATGCGCGTTTAAACAACGTTTTGTCGGGTTGATCGATCGGGCTTAAATTTGATACCTCCTCGTCCTCCCCCCGCACATAGCTATTATTTAATAATAATAATAAAATATTATTATAATTATCGTTATGCAATATTTAATATATTTGTTGAGAACAAAAAATTAATATTTTTATTTCATAATATTAAAAAAATAATAAAATAATATATAATATATTATATATTATATTATTATATTAAATTATATAATAATATAAATATAATATATAATAACAATAGTTATATAAAAAAAATAATTTATATATATTAATATATTTATATTATATTGTATTATT